CCGTCTCAGGGTCCCCAAATTGATAGGGAACTGCCAGAGGTTCAGGCCAGGTTCTGAAGAGATCATGGAACAAGGGAAATTCATTGCCGATGTCAGATGGACCCAGGGTGAAAGCAGAGAATACCAGAAAGATGTTTACACGTGGTTTATTGACTATGCCAAGACATTAGACTGTGTGGATCATAGCAAACGGTGGATCACTTTGAGAATTCCAGAACACATCACTGTGTTCATGTGGAACTTGTACGTGGATCCAGAAGCAGTTGTATGGACAGAACAAGGGCTTACTGCATAGTTACAATCAGGAAAGGTGTGTGTCAGGGTTGTATCCTCTCGCCGTATTTATTCAATCTGTGTGCTGAGCAAACAATCAGAGAAGCTGGATTTTATGAAGAAGAATGCGGCATCAGGATTGGAGGAAGGCTTATTAACAACCCACGATATGCAGATGACACAACCTTGCTTGCTGAAAGTGGGGAGGACTTGAAGCGCTTGCTAATGAAGATCAAGGAGGGCAGTCGTCAGTGTGGATTGCAGTTCAGTGTAAAGAAGACCCAAATCCTCACGACTGGACCAGTGGAAACATCACGGTGAATGGAGGAAAGTTTGAAGTTGTCCAGGGTTTTGTCCTGCTTGGACCCACAATCGGGGCTCCTGGAAGCAGCAGTTGAGAGATCAAGAGACAAGTGAGGTAATTCTGCAGCACAAACCTCTTCAGAATATCGACAAACAAGGGTGTACGTCTGAGGACTAAGGAGGTTCAGCCCAAGCCATGGTGCTTTCCACAGCCTCATACGCATCGAATATAGAAGGATAAAGAAGAACGGATGCATTTGAATTGTGCTGGGGAAGAATATTGAAAGTACCCTAAAAGGACAAACAGATCTGTCTTGGAAGAAGTACGGCCAAAGTGCTCCTTAGAGGCAAGGATGAGGAGACTGGGTCTTACATACTTTGGACATATTGTCAGGAGAGACCAGTCCCTGGAGAAGGACATCGTGTTTGGTCAAGTGGAGGGGCGGCAGAGGAGAGGAAGGCTCTCAAGGACATGGCCGGACACAGCGGCTGCATCGATGGGCTCTGGCTCTGGCATGGGCCGACGGTGAGGATGGCGCAGGACCAGGCCGGGCTTCATTGTGTTGTGCAGTTGGTGGGGACCAACGTCATGGACCCCAATGACCACCACAACCATGTGGCCCCATCCCTCCCCCATAAAAAACAGGTTCTTCAGGGATCACAGGAAACTGATCTCTATCTACAGTTAATGACAAAAAGCTATAGCTACATTTCTCTAGTCTGTCAGATCACCACCCCCTGAAGCCCCCTGCCTCCCTACTGAATGGGGCATGCTGCCTGCCTGGCTACTTCTCTGCACGGCCTTGCTAGTCACCACCCTGACCCATGAAGCTTCCAGGGGCATTTTGCTGCCAGGGAGAGGATTGCCCCATTTCGGATTTCCAACAAACTACAGCTGAAGGTATGTTCCACATCCAGAACTTGGAGTGGCAGCAGGATACGTCTCCCACCTCCCCATGAAGCGACCTAACATCACCGGGGCTCTGTCCATCCTGAAGCCACATAGCTCCCTGGGACGGTGTCAAAGGCCATGCCAGCTTCCTGGCCACTTCTCTGGGCATCGCCACAGACGAGTGTGTTGTTGTGGTCCCGGGGACTCCCACACACCAGAAAAGAAACACAGCCCAGTGCCCGTGGCAGGTGCGTGTCCGACGCTCGTGATCCGGAGGGTTTCCGTGGCTGGTTTTCAGAGGTACATCGCCGGGCCTTTTTTCCTCATCTGTGTATGTCTGGACGCGTTCAGCACAGCAGCGGCCCAGCCTCCGCTGACCAGCGGGTGGTGGCCAAGGATGAGAGGGACACTGCCCGGGGATCCCCCAAGGAAGGCGGGGACTCTGCCACTGAGCCCCACTGCCCCCATTGTCCAGAGAACGGCCCTCCCTCACAGGACTGTGGGCTGCTCGGACGTGCCTTGTAAACTGTGGAACTGGTGTTTCCAGTTTCTGCTGAGACAGCCTGTGTAGGTGGGCCCAGAGGGCTGGGCAGGTGTGTCACCCGTTGGGCATAGCCCTGTAGACCTTGCCGCGAGCTGGGTGTGGGCTGAGGGAGGGGGCGGCGTCTCGGCAGTGGTACTCGGCCGCCCTGCATCCTTCTTGGCAGCACTGGTTTCGGCGGTGGCCCGTCCCAGCCCCCACCTGCGCACACGTGCTTCCTCCAAGCGGCTGCTGCTTGTGAGTCAGCAGAGGGGTCCTTTCTCGCCCTGCTGGGGTGTGCATGTGTGTGACCTCAGTCACCTAGGGCATGGGATAACAGAAAACAATTTTCTGTCTGGTGGATCCTGGCTCATGGCACCCCAGGTGAGCAGAGTGGAGCTGTCTTCCAAAGACTCCCCCACGCTGCCCCTGTCTTGGGGTGCTCTGGGCTGGGTTTGAGCCCCTGAGCTTGGGTTTAGCAGCTGAAAGCTTAAGCCCCTATGCCACTGGGGGGCTTCTCTTGCCTGGGAAGGTTGTGGGGTGTGTGGGTGCATCTCAGGGGGTCGGTTGGTGCGTACATGTGTGTGTCCCTGCAGGTGCATGCCTGCATGCTCGCCGGCCCGGTCAGAACCAGGGATCTCGCTGTTCCCACTGCATACACATACCGGGCTGTGGGTGGATGTTGATGGGGCTTCAGATGTCAGGCCTCCCAGACAGGGGGCGGGGAGCAGGGGGCAGAACTGAAGCCCCAGGGTTTCTGGCACTCCCTGGTAGAGTGAGGGGCACCTGGGCCTCATCAACCATCCCCGGACAGGTGTCCGCCGTTCTCAGAAAGCCCAAGACTGAGAAGGCAGGAGCTCACAGTTGTCCCAAATGGAAGCACGTGCCAGGGTTCCTGGGGGTGGGCGAGGTGCAGGGCCTCTGGCACTGGACATTGCCCAAGATGGAGGATGGGAGGGTCCCCAGAAGGCCCAGACTGTGGGTCCCCTCAGCATTCCCCAGTGAAGGGTCTGCCTCTGAGGAGAAAAGGTGAGCGAGAGGTCTCAGTCAAGACCCCACAGAGCCCACTCACACAGATCCCCCCAAAGAGCTCTGTAGGTCGGAGAGGGGAGAGGGGCATTTTCTGCAGATGTTTGTCCTGCTGGCTGTGGTCATGCTGGCTTCCTGTGGCTCCTCCTTCCCCTCTGCTTTCTCCCATTTGCACTCGGAATGTTTTCCTTGGAATGGGAATAGCCGCCCTGGACTTTGGAAGCAGATAGCTCGAATCCTCGGTTTCAGAGGTCGGTACTTAGAGAGGGATTTTGCCCCAGGATAGAGTCCGCCCATCGCCTCACCTGCCCAGATAGGGTGGTTCAGAAGCTGTGACTTGGGGTTCAGAGCTGATGTTGGAGTGGGCTGGGATTTGGGGGAGAATGGGAGAGGCGGATGCGTGATGTCTGAGGGAAGAACTTGACTGCAGGGAGGAGGGAGGTCAATTGGTGGGGCTTTATAGAGTGAATTGTGCCACGCCTCCAGCTGTGTGTTGGAGTCCTAACCCCCAGAGTTATGAATAAGGAGCCCTAGTGCTACAGTGCGTTGCATACATTGGGCTGCTAACCCCAAGATCAGCAGTTCGAGACCTACACCTGGTCTGTGGGAGAAAGGTGAGGCAGTGAGTGTTTTACAGCTGTGGGTACAACCCTGTCGGCTGAAAACAGGACTTCTTTGTCATGATACTCAGACCATATCAGAGGTAGAGTGGATCCTAGCCCCAGTCACCTCTGAGCTAAGAACAAACAGGCAGACACAAACCACATGAAGTTCCACAAGCACCCAGGGGGCCCAGGAACATGGGGGTGGGGCGCAGGGTGGTCCCAACGCTGCGGGAGACCGAGATCCTCCCCAGGCCCAACAGAGAGAGCCTGCCCCTTGGGCCAGTGTTCTGAACTCGGTCTTCCAACTGTGAGAAAACAACCTTCCCTCCTACACAGCCCTCCCCGGTGCCTGCTGTCTTCCCTCAGCCCGGAAGAAGCCGAGGTGGGCGGTTACATGCGTGCGTACCCTATCCCACCTCACATGCTCGTGTGCACAGGGTGCCTCCCTCCTATTAGGGAGGAAAGGGCTCTGAGGCTTCTGCAGGTCTTGTGGTGTCGACAGAGGGAGTGGGGTGAGGGAGCACATTCCCGGCCAGAAGCAGGGCAGTTAACGACAGGGGCACGTGTGACGTGGAAAAGTAGACCAACAGCTTCCAGGGTTTTCTCTGTCCGAAGACCCTAGAGCCCGGGGCAGGTGAATTGCACCAACAGGTGAGAATAGTGCCTCCGAGAGGTAGCTGGCAGACTCCTCCCATCGAGTCAATGCTGGGGCAGGGTGGAACTGCCCTGTGGGTGTCTGAGACCCAACTCTTTACAGGAGGAAAAAGCCCGGTCTTACTCCCAAGGTGCAGCTAGTACTTTCGAACTACTGACCTTGTGACTTGCAGTCCAAAGCATAACCACTCGAGCTTGTGAGACTGAAGGAGGGAGTTCTGGAATCAGCCGTCAAGGGAGGGAAGGCTGGGACGGCAGGAGAAACTCTGGGGAAGGCCTTGTGATACCCCCATGGTGGCGTGGGGTCATGAGACTTCAAAGGGTCAGACCCCCGGCTGTGCAGATAACTTATACTCTGCTACCAACTAGAGGCTGGGATTCAAACCCAACCCGGTCACCGGGGAAGGAGGGCCTAGCAGCCTGCATGGGTAAAACATTAAACTAGCCAGTTTCACTGCGGAAGGCTCCGGGGTGGTGGTGTCAAATTATACAGTCTTGGAGAACCTGAGACTTTGGCCCCTGGACCCTAAGGCCATGTGAACCCCTTTCCGCAGAAGGTGAACTGTGTATCTTGAGGTTGGCAGGCACACGGAGTGCTTTAAGACTAAAGTGCACTCCAGGTTCTGTGCCATTGGCAACTTCTCTGCATGTGTACGGCACCGCCGTACGTGCGTGAGCGTGTATAAAATGCAAAACATGGCAATAAGCACCCGCCCACAAGGAATCGCCAGGCCGGCGAGAGCTCAGGATTTCTTGCCCCATCACCAAGTGGCAACGGGGGCCTGCGGGTGAGGGGTTCATCCAGCGGCCCTCCTGGGTCTGGCGGGCATCCTGGGTGGCAGCGGCAGGAATGACTCAGGCGAGGGGGAGACTGACATTGGGGAACAGTCAGAGAGACGGCTCCTCCTGCCTGTCATTTTAGGGGGCCCCAGAGCTCCTCGGTGGCTGATGCTTGGCCCTTGACCTCGGCACCATGGACCCCAGCCTCAAGAACGTGCTCGTGGTTTCCTTCGGCTTCCTCCTGCTGTTCACCGCCTACGGAGGGCTGCAGAACCTGCAGGTGAGTGCATGCCCTCTATCCCCGCCCGCCCCCCCAATGGCAGGACGGGGAGAGCGTGGCTTCTTTGGATCCAACCCCCCCTCAAGTTTCTCTCCCCTCCAAACAGCCCCTTGGAATAGCAGTGGTCTTCATGTTTGCTCCCCTGCAGCGTCCCAGGCAGCTGTCGGGGGTACAGATAGCTGTGGGCTGGACAGCTACCTGGAAAGTCCATGGTCTAGATGGTCCATGCTCCCAGAAGGTCCCAGCCTGTCACTGGCACACCCTAGGGCAGGTCTGTCACTGCATCCTCGGGGACCCTGAGGCAGAACCAGCCAGCAGCAGCAGCCAATGCTCCAGGAAGGACACACTGCTCCGCCCTGGACCAGGCTCAGGGCTAGAGATGGGAAGTCAGGCTTCCCTGAGGAGGAGAGCTGGGACTACGGCCCTCTCCGAGCTCAGCGACAGATGCACGTTTTCCTCCGGCTTCTCGCTCATCCCGCCTTACCTGAGGTTTTTAGACTGTGAATACAGGGAAGGTCTCTGTTCAACAACCCATAGCTATTTGGACATACTCCAGGCCCGTGAGCAGCCTCGCTCTCAGACAGCGAGCGCTGCAGAGTGGCTGTGGCAGACGTGGTTATGTCCTCCCCCCCTTCTCCCCGTTCCGAAGTCCTTCCTGTTGCTCAGGTGAGTCTCCGCGCTCCTGTCCGTGGAGGTCTTTCTGTCTGTGTCTGGTCATCGTTGTTGGGTTTTTGCTTGCTCGCTTGCTTCCTGCCTGGGTTTTGGTATGGTTTTCTGCGTGTGAATCCAGGACAGGGACATCTGTAGAGGCAGTGGGATTCACGATTGCCCAGGGGCGTGGCGGGGGAAGGGCGGGGATAGGGAGCTGGCAACAGTGGGCACGAGAAGGTGTCCTGAAAAGGATTGGGGTGATGACTGCTCACGCTCTTTAGGACCATCAAAGATTAAATTGTGTGGTACGTGAGCTATGTGCCAATAAAAATGTAGTAACAATGATGGAGATGTGGGGGATGGGCTGCAAGAGCTGAGCTCAGTCCTGTGATAGACACATTCCTGTAATCATGATGATCCACAGGTGGGTGGGTATGGACAGACAAGCTGAACCAGTGTGGGAAGGACAGTGAGACTACGCACGCACACACACACTCACATATGTGCACATCTCAATGTGTGTGTGGGCGTATGTGTATATATACATATACATGTATATGTGTATGTGTGCATATATATGATTGACAGAGGACTGTACCTTAGCATCCTCAATCATTTGAAATCCAAAGGGCAGCATTTGCCGGAGGACAGAGTTCAGATGCCAGGAAAGTTTAAGCACAAACACGGGGAGGAGGTGGGGTGAGTGATGGGCCTTGTGGGGATGTCACGAGAGGGATGCAGCAACGTGTGGGTTTCTGAATGGAGCCTGGCCCTGCTCTGTCAGCCCTTCGCTTCATTCACAGTGAGATGTCACAGAGAAAACAGGACTGCAGAATCTCGGGGGAGCGACTTGAGGGGTTGCTTGCTGCAACTGGCCACAAGTCCCTGAACTCAGAGATGGTGTGTGTCTCAGCTCCCCTCTGCAGAGGGGATTCACCAGACACTTTGTCTCTGTGGGGACCCTGAAAATGGATCTTGGGTTTCCACTGTTACCCATAGCCTTCTGCAAACCGGGTGTTCACACTGTAAGCTCCAATACCACTCCCTCCTTGGATTTATCCTTGGTTATCGACAATCCTTGGATCACACAGGCTGGTGTGCTTCTTCCATGTGGACGCCCACTTAGATGGCTGCTTGCTAGAGATGAGCCTTTAAAATGCCAGACACTGTTCTATCTGACTGCCAGGCACGCAAATGCAGGGAAAGTGCTTGCAGCTGGCCTGCCTCCAAGTGACAGCACAGGTGTCCGGACAAGGTGACTCATCTCGCAGAGAGAGGTGCGTTTGCGATCACCTAGCAAAGATGGGTGCTGTTCCCACTTTGGATGTTCAAATGTCTTCCTTTTAGTGGTCTGAAGTCCACTCAGTTCTAAGGCATGCGTGGACTCAGAGTTGAGTCCCTGCCAACGCACACTGACTCAATATGGCAGATGAGGACTGCCCCCAGGATTTGCAAGGCTGTAAGTCTTTCTGGAAGCAGACCGCCTCATATTTCGCCCATGCACCCATGGTTGGATTTGAAATGCCGGCCTTTTGGTTGGCAGCTCAACGTGGAATCCACTGCACCCCCAGGGCCCTCCGAGAGACCAAGACTGCTGCTGCTAGGCACCATCAAGTTGGTTCTGATCCAACAGGATGAAACACTGCCCCGTCCTGCACCACCCTCACAACTGCTGCTGTGTGTGAGGCCACTGCTGCCGCCCCACGCCTCTCCGTTCCTGTGAAGCTCTCCTCTTTTCTGCGGAACTGCTTTACCCAGCAGGGCGTCCGTTTCCAGGCCTGTGTCCCCAAATTCATGAGACAAAGCCTCGTTGAGCCAGTTTTGAGGGCTTGCTTGCTTGTTACATCGAGTTGTAATCCCACATTGAAGGCTTCAATCCTTGATCTGCATCAGCAAGCCCCTCAGGCCCGCCTCACTGTCTGCAAGCACGGTTGGGTCACCTCCGTCTCACAGGTGGTTAATACTCCTTCCTCCAATCCTGATGCTAAATTCTTCTTCAAACAGTCCAGCTTCTTGGATTATCTGCTCAGCACACCGACTGAACAAGTATGGTGAGAGGAGACAGCTCTGACGCACACCTTTGCTGATTTTAAATCATGCAGTATTCCTCTGTTCTGTTAGCAGAGCTGCCTCTTGATCCATTCACAGGATCCAGATGAGCACAGTGACGTGTTCTGGAATTCCCACTCTTCTTAACATTTGTTGTGACCCACAAAGTCAAATGCCCAGGCATAGCCAATCGAACACAGCCAAGACCTCTTTCTGTCCTCTTCTGCTTTCAGCCACCATCCATCTGACATCAGCAATGATAGCCCTTGTTCCACGTCTGTGTTAGTCCAGGTAGACTAGAGTAACAAATCCAGAGTCACTAATATGTGGGTAAGAGAGAAATTTATATCAAAGTATACTTTTATATTAAGAAAACATCCCAGCCCAATCCAGATCAAGACCGTAAGTCTGATATTAACCCATATGCCTGATACGAGTCTGTAAATTCTTCTTCAGAATCACACAGCAATGCAATAATGCTGAATGCAGGAAGATCACAGGCCAGTGGGTGGAAAGTCTTATGGATCCAGTGGCGGTGGAAGCATCTCCACGCTAGTGTGGGTCTGCAAGTGGATCCTCCAGCTCCAGGGTCCTGGTTGCCATCAATATAGCTCCATGTGTCTTGTCAGCAGCAGCGAGTGTCTCTGTGTCCCACCTCCAGCGAGCTATTTATCTCCGTATTGCCTCCAAATGAAGTCATCAGGCTGCGACCTGATTGACAGGCTAGACCCCACTCCTTCGCAATTGAGAAGAGATTATGTGACTGCCACAATGTCCTCTTCGGGATGTGACTGGAAATTCTGGCAGCTCCTCGTCTGTGTTCTGCCGTAATTTCTGTGGGATGATCTTTAGCAAACTTTCACCTGCGTGTGACATTAGTGATAATGCTCCCGTAAGCTGAGCATTCTGTTCGATCACCTTTCTTTGGAATGGGTGCCAATACGGATCTCTTCCAGTTGATTGGCCAGATTTCTTCTCAATTTCTAAATTTCCTAAGTAGATGAGTGAGTGCTTCCAGGGCTTCACCAGCTCATGTGCACACTTGACTTGGTAGTCTATCAATTCCCCGAGCCTGGTTTGAGGCTCTTTCCTTCAGGACCGCTAGGGCTTCTTCCTTCAGTACCTCTGGTTTGTGATCATACGCTGCCTTCTGAAATGGTGGAATGTTGACGCATTTTTTTTGGTACCGTGTCTCTGTTTATCCCTCCATCTTCTGTTGAAGCCTCCTGCATCATTCAATATTTTGCCCATAGAATCTTATAACATTGCAACTTAATTTGAGGCTTGAACTTTTCTTCAGTTCTTTCAGCACAAGATCTGCTGAGCGAGCTCTTCCTTTCTGGGTTTCTGACTCCAGGTCTTTGCACGTTTCACTGCAATACTTTGTCTTCTTGAGCTGCCCTTTGAAATGTTCTAGTCAGCTCTTCGCTATCGCCATTTCTCCCATGTGCTTTGGCTACGCACCATTCGAGAGCACGTTTCAGAGTCTCTTCTGACACCCACTTGGGCCCTTTCTTTCTTGTCTCTATCCTGTAGGGTGCTCTTGATGTTGTTCCATAGCTCAACGGGTCTTCTGTCATTCAGGTTCAATGCACCAAAGCAGGTCTTGAGGCGGTCTTGAAATTCAGGGGGCATAGACTCAAGGTGTATTTGGCTCTTGTGGACTTGCTTTAATTCAATTTCACCTGGAACGTACATATGAGCAATTGCTGGTCTGTTCCACAGCCGGCCTCTGGTCTTGCGTTGGCTGCTTATCTTCAGCTTCTCCATCGTCTCTTCCCGCAGACGGAGTGGATTTATGTGTATCCATCCTGAGCACTCCATGTGTACAGTTGCCATTTGTGTTGTAGAAAAGATGTGTATGTGATGAAGAAGTTGTTAGTCTTGCAAAATTCTATCATGTAAACTCCACCTTTGTTTCTATCACCAAGGCTGTATTTTCCAAACTATTGTTCCTTCTTCTTTGTTTCCAACCTTTGCATCCCCATGGCTAGTAAGGATCAATACATTGTCATTGCATGTTTGTTCAGTTTCAGACCAAAGTAGTTGATAGAATTCAATTTTTTTCATCACTACCTTCAGTGGTGTGTGGATAAATTTGAATAGTTTTCGTTACTGGATTTCCTTGTATGTTTATTGATATTATCTAATCCCAGAGAGTGTTGTACTTCAAGATAGATATCGGAATATATTTTTTGGCAATGAATATGAAGCAAGTTCTCCTGATTTAGTCATTCCCACCACAGTCAACCATATGACTGACTCAAATTGGCCAATACCAGCTTATTTCAGCTCACGAATGTCTAGAATGTTGATCTTTATGTGTCCCATTTTATTTTTGATGACTTCCAATTTTCCTAGTCATACTTTGTACATTCCAAACCCCAATTATTAATAGATGTTTGCAGTGGTTTCCTCTCATTTGGAGTCATGCATACGAAGGTAAAGGCTTGCTCCATCCACATCATTACGGTCGACCACATGGGAGGAGTCATCTCCTTCTCCATATGTTGACTGTCTTCTGACCCGAGGGGCTCATCTCTGACAATGTTCTGTTCCTGTTCCTGAGATTTCAGGGTCTGACAATGTTTTGCTGCTATCTGTGTTTTTCTTTTTTTAAACATTTTATTAGGGGCTCATACAACTGTTACCCCAATCCATACACACATCAATTGTGTAAAGCACATTTGTACATCGTTTCTCAAAACAGCTATCTGTGTTTTTCAGCAGGTTGTTCTTCAGACGTGGGTAGTCTTCGTAGGCTGTTCTGACTCTGGAAGCTCTGCTGAGGCCTGTTCACGTTGGGTGACAGTGCTGGTGTTGGAAATCCCAGTGAGCAGCTTCCACACCCCAGCCACACACAAGCCACCACAGTGCACGACACACGGGCAGACAAGGGACTTTCGAGTTTTTCCCTTTGCTGCAGCGTAGGGAGTAGAAAAGAATTTGAATCATGGTTTTCAGGGCAGAGAAATGCTGCGGCATTTCCATCAGCAAACTGAGAAGGGAGCCCATCGACACATGCTCATGTGAATATATATTTTTAAAAGCTGAGCCACCTCTCTCCCGCCATACCCCCGAGCACAGAGCTATAAGCAGGCACTCCCAGGTAACCCCGACTCTAGAGCATGGTGATCAGTTTCCATTTCCCACCAGACTCCAGAGTTTTGAGCCCACTCTCCATTCTTGCTTTCGGTGTTAATTAAGCAGCACAAATTGTGTTGCGGAGCGGGGCTCGCGTTGAAGCAGCGCCCTCCCGTGCCTTCACGCGGGCTGTCCTCCAGCTGCCTGACACGGAGGGAAACCACGTGCCTGTAGGGTCAGCAGTTCTCTGATAAGCCGAGAGAGCTCAGCTCCACGCACAAGTGTCCCAGGGGGCCCTTGATGACAGGGGGACCCCTTGACCTGTGTCTGGAGAATGGGTGCTGTGTGGGAGGAGAGGTGAGCATGGACAGAGGTGAGGGGCTGCGGTGTCTTCTTGGAGAAGGTGTGAGGTGCAGAGCCAGGAATGAGGGGGGCCAGGCTGAGTGAGAATCCATGCAGGGGAGATTGCCCTTGACCCAGGGGATGGGGAATGATGGTAGAAAAAGAAGGGATGCTTTAGGGTGTGGGATCCAGAACTGTTGTGCTGTGTCTCCTGGCAGGAAGGGGTTTAATGGTCTGGGCACTGGGAGTGTGGCCGTGGGGTCTCCTGGGCACGCGTGGAGGTCTTTCTGACCATTACCGAGCTCTGTGGCCGGGGCCTTTCTCCATCTTTAATGTGAGGTGTGGTGCCCCCACTGTCTTCGCCATCTCCCCAGTCTCTCCATGCCTCCAAGCTGCCTCTTCTTACAAGGACACCGGCCATCTCAGAGTAGGCCCTGCTGATGGCCCTCGGCAGGACCTGGTGGGCAGTGGGTAACCGCAGCCATTCTGAGTCAGATAGGCCAGTCTGTCTGCGCCCACACCAGTCACAGCCCTGGAAGCACCATGAGGCAGAATGGAGTCTCAGGCAGATGGGCTTTGGTTAATGGACAGCTGGGTGGCACAAAGAGTTAACATGCTGGACTTCTACCTGAAGGGGTGGCAGCTTGACCTCCGCTCCCCTCATGGCCACCTGGAGACGGGCCTGGTGGCTTCTTCAGAAGACGCCAGCCTCAAGGACCCTGTGGAGCAATTTGCTCCACGCTCAGGGCAGCCACAGGTGGGAACCGACGTGTGGGCAACAGCTCGGCTCTGCGAGGACAGTGCCTGAGAAGGCTGCTATGCTGGTGTCCGGCCCCTTGCTGACCTGCCAGGGCGGCTCTCTCAGACGGGGTCCACGCCCCCTTGGGAGGGGACCCTGTGGCAGCCACTTCTGCTTCCCTGGCGTGTGACTGACGTGTCCTGGAGCACATGCATGGGGTGGGGGAGTGGGGGGTGTCTAAGCTGGGCATGTGCGATCATGAGACAAGAAGAGATGGAAGGAACTGCTGGGTTCAGGCCTGGGGGTCATTCTCCTCCTCCTCTTCCTCCTCCTCTTCCTCCTCCTCTTCCCCCCACCCCCAGACTCTCACTCTCCCAGAGGCATCTGGGAAAACCATGGCTTCCTCCTCATTTCAGCGCCCTCACCCACCCCTGTCACCGTGAAGACAGATTCCTCTGGAAGCCAGAGGCCACCCTGCTCGCTGGGCCAGCCCCCAAGCGCACCCCCCCCCCAACATGAGCACCCCTGAAATGTAGAAAGGGCTCTCATGAGCACTTGCCTAAACCGGTCCTGGGGCCATGGAGGCGAGGCCTGGCGACTAAGACTACAGCCCACGGAGCCGTGCCGCATGGGCCACCCACGAGCGGAAGGAGGCTCCACAGCAGTGGGTCCACGAGGCTCAGAGCTTACATTCTGTGTCCTCGTCACACCTGTCACGAGGCGTTGGGGCACGGAGGTGGCTGGGAGCGAGCCCGTGGCTGGTGGCTTTGGCACATGGAGGTGACTGGCCCCTCCTGTGGCTGGTGGGAGGGGGGGATGCCCTCTGACTGGCTATTGTCTCCACAGAGCAGCCTCAACAGTGAGGAGGGCTTGGGGGTCACGGCCCTCAGCACCCTCTATGGCTCCATCCTGCTGTCCTCCATGCTCCTGCCCCCCGTGCTCATCAAGAGGTTCGGCTGCAAGTGGACCATCGTGGGGTCCATGTGCTGCTACGTGGCCTTCTCCCTGGGCAACTTCAAAGCGAGCTGGTAAACCCGCCCGCCCGCTACCCCGCAGTCCAGACACCTCGCTCCAGGGGCCTCTGTGTGCCCAAGGGCAGCTCTCCAGCCCTGGGCACTGTCCCCACTCAAAGGGAGGCCTGGTGGGGCGGTGGGATAGCGTGCAGCCGCCAACCTAGAGGCTGGCAGCTCAGACCCCACAGCCGCTCCTGGGGAGAGAGAGGCCTCTGCTCCATGAGGTCAGCCGCCCGGGAGCCTGGGTTGGCCCTGAGCCTGGGCCCACTCTCCGGAGGGGCCTGGGTTTACTTTCCTGTTTCAGGGCCTGTTGTCCCCATTTCTGCAGCAGGGCACCGCGTTGCCTGCCTTCCTTCCAGTTCTGAGGACGACTTCCCCAGAGCAGGCTGGCTCCGATGAGTCCTGCCGGTGCCGCAGTTAGGCGTCTGGCTGCTAACCAGGAGGCCTGTGGCTGGAGCCTACCTGCTCTGGAGCCCACCTGCTCTGGATGCCCACCTGCTCTGGATGCCCACCTGCTCTGGATGGGAAAAGGCGGCGGCGGCGGTCTGCTTCAGCAGACAGCAGTGTAGGCAGGCCTTCTGGGCTGCCCTGCATGAGATTCCCACTTGATGTCAACTTGAAAGAGTCTTGGCTAAGACTCCCCTGGCCACACCCAGGGTTGGCAGTTCAAACCCACCAGCTGCTCTGCAGGAGAAAGATGAGGCTTTCTGGTCTCCTAACGCCTCCGAATCCCACAGAGGCCGTTCTGTCCTGCACTTCAGGGTTTCTGCAAGTGCGAATCAACCCCAACTCAGTTCGTATAGTTTTGCCTTTTAATCTTGAATCCAAGATGCCACCGTGGTGCAGACGTTAAGCACTGGGCAGTGTCAGCCTGGGCTGACAAGAGAAATCCAATGACACTCATCTCTGTATAAGAAAGAACTTTATATAAAGAAATAAGTATACATCCAGAAGGCGTCCCAGCCTGCGATACTAGCCCCCACGTCCCTCTTCAGACTCACACATGCAGCAATGCCGAGTGCAGGGAGGGCAGAGGCCAGGAGACCCAAGGTCTGTGGGAAATGGCTGGGCTGTGGCAGCTCTCAGGGCAGCCAGCCAGCAAGCAAGAGAAGCAGGAGAGAGAGAGAGAGAGAGAGAGAGAGAGAGAGAGAGAGCCACATCCCCCCAAGGACACAGAATCAGGCTGTGCCCTGAGTGACGGGTTTGACTCCGCCCCTAGCCAGGAGTGTCGACTTGACCTAAAATCATGACTACCACAGGTGGCTAAAGGAAAGCCAGGGATTGAACCCACCAGCCACTTTGAGGGGCTAGAGGCTCATCCAGAGGGCCGTCTGGAAACCCTGAAGGGCAGGTGCGTGTGGTCAGGCTGCAGCGGCCAGTTGAGATGCAAGCAACCCAGGCACCAGAGAAGGAAACACTGGCCGGTCCTTTGCCACCCTCACCGCAGCCACCATGTCAAAGGCCATTGTCACACGGCCTACAGGGCACTTGGGGTCGGAGTCCACTTGATGGCAATGGTCATGGGGGCCACTTGGGATGCTCAGTGGCACCTGCATCAGGCCTGGGCTTCCTCCACCCAGCCCCACCCCCCCACCTCCATGCACGGCTGGATGGTTGGCGAGGTGGCCTGCTTTTGAGAGAGTGTGTCCCTGCCTCTCTCTCCAGGTACACTCTGATCCCCACCTCCATCCTGCTGGGGTTGGGGGGCGCCCCGCTCTGGTCTTCCCAGTGCACCTACATTACCATTTTGGGGACCATCAATGCCGAGAAGACAGGGCGGGCCAGCAAGGACGTGGTCAACCAGTACTTCGGCATCTTCTTTCTCATCTTCCAGTCGTCCGGCGTCTGGGGCAACTTGATCTCCTCTCTGGTGTTTGGCCAGACCGCCACTCCAGGTGAAGGGCCCAGGGCGGGAGCAAGGGCCGGGCTGTGGGCAGGCATAGGCCTGGCCCTCATGCTGCTGGCTCCTGGGTGGTGGGAACTGTCCACCTGCTGGCCTTGCAGCCAACACGTGGGTGTTGACCCCTGCAGGGCACCATGCTCTCCTCTGCAGAGGCTCTGCCCTGCTGCCCACGGACACTCTCCCAAGGCCCACATCGCAATCCTGGGGCAGCTGAGCCCAGACCCTGTTGAGCACCAGCATGACCTGGGAGCACTTTTTTTTTAACTTGTGTTTTTGATGGCCAAGTTCAGTTTTGTCAGGAAAAGGGGCCCATTACCTGCACTTGTTCCCAGAGCCTTCTTCTTTGAGTGTCTGCAAAAAAGAATAGCAGCTTCTACCCCCCATCCCCAGAGTCCGACCTCCCTCACCTGGCCCTCCCCTCACCTGACTCTGTCTGTGAGCACCTGGCCCTCCTCTTACCTGTCCCTCTGTCCCTGAGCACCTGACCCTTCCCTCACTTAAACATCCCCAAGTGTCTTCCCCACACCTGTCCCTCCATCCCCGTGCACCTGTCCCCTGCCTTACCTGCCCACCACTCCCCCTGGCACCGGCCTCACCGTGTGCTCTGTCCCTCCCATCCGCCCCCCGCTCCCGCCCCAGAGTCCATCCCCGAGGAGCAGCTCCCGTCCTGCGGGGCCAGTGATTGCCCGACGGGCGGTGTGTCCAACAGCAGTGGCAACAGCACCCAGCGCCCGGCCGAGAACCTGGTCTACACTCTGGTGGGCATCTACACAGGTGTGTGCGCTCAGGGGCCCTGGCCGAGCAGACTCTGTGCCTCCCAGGCACAAGCTCCTCGCCAAGCCGGGTCTCCGAGTCCTAAGTGGCTGAACCCAGAGCCACCAACAGCGAGAGGGGGGTTCGAGGCCACTGGGGAGAGCCTGGGAGGAAGGCCGGCGACCCGTCATCTTCTACGCAGATCCGGTCTGTCTGCCTTTGCAGGGTTCTTTTGTTTGTAATCTGCACAACCCTGGCTTTCTACGATCACGGGGGCTCTGCTCTTCCTCAGCAAGGGCTTCAAGCCCCCCTCATGCTCAGCAAGGGAGGCTGAGCCATCTGCATGTGGGAGTGGTTTGTAAGCCACCCTCCAGTCCTGACGTCACACTCTGCTTCAGACAGTCCAGCTTCCCCGATGATTTGCTCAGCATGCAGATGGACACTCTTCTTGGTGTTAAACCATGCTGTCCGTCCTGTTCTGTCCAAACGGTTGTCTCTTGGCCTACGCACAGGAGCCGCCTGTCCTGAAAAGTCCCGTTCTTCCCAGTGCTGTCCGTAGTTGGATATGCTGCACACAGTCGAAAGCCTTTGCTTAGTCAGCAAAACACAGGACGCCTCCATCGGCTGGAAGCTGAGAGGCTCAGGTTGGACGGCACCCCCGTGCTTGTGTCAGAGCCCAGGACTGCAGCCCCCATCTGCCCATTCACCCAGGGCCTTCCTCTTGCCCACTGCCCTTCCCCATTAGCAAGCATGGCATCCTTCTCCAGGGACTGGCCTCTCCTGACAACAAGGTGTGTGAGACAAAGTCTCACTGTCCTCGCCTCTCAGAAGCGCGCATGCCTTACTACTTCTGAGACAGATCAGTTTGTCCTCTGGCAGTCCGTTCTCCTCCAGCACCGTCACTCAGATGCCTCCATTCTTCTGTGGGCCTCCTTGTTCAAGTCCAACACATCTGGGATCTCCCACGGCAATGCAGATGAAGCCATTGCAAAGACCGTGGTGTGGGTCAGGTGGAACTTAGTCTTCAGAGCAAGCTCCTTGCATTTCACATCTTTAGAGAGGTCTTGTGTGGCAGAGTGGCCAGTGCAGTGGGTCTCATGACTGTGGCTTCCATGGAGGTGGTCTGTGGGTCCAGGATCGGAGGGTGGGTCTGTGCTTCCAGTAGAAGTGCTTCATCTCAGCTGGGCCCACAGGCAGCCCTCGCTCTGATCCTCACGGTCAGCCATGCAGTCTTTGGCCAAGGGCCTGCTCAACACAGATACGGTCTCTGTAGATGCTAAGTGCCCATGGACAAGTCTTTCCAGCCTCAATGTCCACCGAAGGCTTTGGCTCTAGCCCCAGGGTCAGCAGACCCAGCTCCCTAATTAAGTGTCTGGAGGTACATCCTCTGCAAGTGAGCACCCTCCACCAAAGCCCCCAGCTTGACGCACCGCTCCACAGACGGAGGCCCACCACTCGCTTCATCTGGAGCTCTGGCCCTTGGCTCCACTGCTGTCAGGGCTCCTGGGTTGTGCAGGGACCACAGGGCCCAGAGGACATGCTCCGCCCCGGCTCTTCACTCTACATGGTGAAGGGTTAGGGAGAGAGAAGCCCAGGTGGCAGTGATAGACACGAAGGTGGCCGGCTGGTGGAAATACCTGAAGGACCAGGTGCCTCCAGGGTCTGACGTCTGACAGGTTTCCCAAACAGGATGGCGGCTTCGTGGCAGACGGGGAAGCTGCAGCCAGGCGCTGGCAGCAGGGTCCTCCCCAGCCACACAGTGGCCCCCTCCATCCCCGCAGGATGCGGCGTGCTGGCAGTCTTGCTGATAGCGATATTTCTGGAACCCACAAAAAATCTCCAGCAGAGAAGGGAGGAGGATCAGAAAACGTCCCTCTTGTCCAACGTACTGTCCACGTTCAAGCTGCTCAGAGACAAGCGGCTGTGTCTGCTGGTTCTGCTGCCCCTGTACAGCGGCTTCGAGCAGGCCTTCCTGTCCGGCGACTACACCAAGGTAGGGGGGGCCCAGACAGCAGGGGACCGGTGGGTGGCACACGTTCTGCGTGTGACTGAGAAGCAGGCCCTGCGAGGCCCTGGTCAAGGTCATGGTTCTGGCCATCAGCTACTTCCCAGGAATGGCCAGCTCCCTCGGGCTTTATCTCGAGAACAAACGCCGCACACACCTGTTGCCATTTCTTCAGGAGAAGCCCCCAGGCTGACTGGCAGGCCTGCTGGGTCCGCACACATGGCACGGAGCCTCCCTTTCACTGCAAGGGGCACCTCCAAGTCCCTGGGGCACTGGCTCCCCTGAGGCTGCAAGCTACCAAGCGCCCTGGTGCACACAGAATGGACACGGAGGCCCTTGAGACTGACCCCTCACAGGGCCCTCTTCCTCCTCCTGGCCTGAAGAGGACACCAGGCACCCCAAATACCGTTTGCCTGATTAGACTTGGTGTGCTGGCCACCCCACCCCCCCAGTGGGACCTGCTCCATGGGGCTGGGAGAGGACCTGGACTCACTGCAGGGTGACCTCCTCTGCTGAGACCCCTGCCCCCTGGACTCCAGGGAGGGATGCCCCACTGGTGGCCCTTGCCCCACAGCCTATCTCCTCTTTGCAGGAGAGTGGTGGGTCCCTCTTCCAGAAAGGATGGGGGAGCAGGAAGAGTCCGGCAAGGGTGCACTTGGTTGCTGTGCCCCATGTCCCATCCCTGGAGGGCTAGCCCACCCCATCCCACCCCATCTTTCTTCTCTCTACCCCAGCAGTCCCTTCCCCTCAGGAAGGCTGGGAACAAAATAGAAAGGGGGGGGTGCATTGGGTTTGATGATGGGTACCTATCATGCATTTGGGGTGCACGGGCCAACACAGCATCTGAGGAGAGCATGACTCCACCCCATGGTGTTTTAGTTCCATTTAAGCCCCCTGCCCTCGGGGTGCAGAGGGGGCTCAGGTCCCCCCCCCCCAGTGTCATCCATCCTCACTTGCTGTCCCAGCCAGACCTGGGCAGGGGCCCATGCATACCCCAGGTCTAGGTTGTCCAGCCATGAGATGAAGCTGTCCATCGAGGGTCCCTACACACACCCCTGGCCAGAACATCCGGAGTGGCCGAGACCAGCCCAGCCGCTGTGAAAAGTGGCAGGGGCAGGGCAGAGGGCAAAGACACATGGGAGGAAGTGTGTCCAGACCAGAGTCCCAACTGGACCATCTCAGAAAGACCAGCCTTGCTCACATGCCCTGGGCACCAGAGGGCCCAGCGGGTGTGTTGGCTGCTACCTGGTAGACACGGTCCCCTGGGAACCAGAACCCCTGTTCCCGGGACCCACCCCTCAAACCTGCGCCTGCCCCACAGTCCTACGTCACCTGCGCCCTGGGCATCCACTTCGTGGGCTACGTGATGATCTGCTTCGCGGCCACTGACTCGCTCTGCTCCCTGCTGTATGGGAAGCTGTCCCAGTACACGGGCCGCATCGCCATCTATGCCCTGGGTAGGTGTGTTGAGGTCCCAGTCTGTCACGCTGACACCCTCCCCTCCCAGTCCCCATTCCTAGCTTGGGGACAACCGCCCACTCCAGGGGGTCTCTGGTGGTGCAGCCTCTGTGCAGCCCAGCTGTGTGTGCAAATGGACTTGGGAAGGGCACCCCCAATTTAAGGGAATCGCTTCACCGGGGGCTGCTCACCTGCCTGCAGTCCCCGCTGAACCCATAGGCTCGCTCAGCCACCTCTGTCCCCGTCTCCACGGTGGTGGACACTCACTGAGCTGTGGCCCATGCATCCACTCACAGCCCTTCCCCGCAGGTGCGCTGACCCACCTGGGCTGCATCACGGCCCTGCTGCTGTGGAAGCCACGTCCGGAGCAGCTGCCGGTGTTCTTCGTCTTCTCCGCCCTCTGGGGGGTGTCGGACGCTGTGTGGCAGACCCAGAACAACAGTGAGTCAGGCGGCACACCGCCCGCCTTGGTTACTGCGGGCCTGGGCAGAGAAGCAGGAGGGGGGCTTTGTGACAGGGCCAGCCAGTCCCTAAGGAAGGGGACATCGTCTACCCAGGGCCTGAGGAAGCAGCCAGGGACCCAAGACAGACTGGTCATGAGGGGACGCCAAGGTCTCAAGCCAGGCCGGTGGGGCTGGACAGGGGGACAGCCAAGCACTGCCCCCCATGCCAGGTCTGAGACCGCCACTGCGTGGTCACTCAGACCCTGATGTCACAGGGGTGGCCGGCTCCTCCAGGCAGCGTCCCCTGGCCACAGGCCTGCACTGCTTCCTGAGGGCCACCCTTGACTGTCGCCGTCCATACCACAAGCCGCACAGGGCTCCATCAGGACTAGGGACATAGACGAGTCACGCTCAGGCTGCAGCTGGGAGCCCCGGGGAACTGCCAGCCCACGGGCCTCTGCGGGAAGAGGAGTCATCAGGGGGTGCCCCCACCTGAGTGATCAGGAGCAGCTCCTGCAGGGCTGAGATGTCATCAGACCCTGGGTGTGCACCTGGCCATGGGCAGGCTGCAGGTGGGTGGCGAGTCAAGGATATGCAGCCGCTGCCTCCAACCAGATGCAGCAAGCTCCTCTGGGGATCTTGGGGGGCTCTGGTGGTGCAGTCACTTAGGCATAGGGGTGCTAACTGCAAAGTCAGCAGTTTGAAATTACCAGCCACTCCTCAGGAGAAAGGGTGACAGTCTCAGAATGGTCCCCACTCGCCCCGGGGCGGTTATATCCTGTCTACACCGTGGCTGTAACCACAGGCTCAGACACAGGGACAACTGGGAGGCTGGTGCAGGGCCAGGCAGTGCTTCCTTCTGTTGTGCACGAGGGTCGCGGTGGGTAGGGATGGACTCAGGGACATGTCATGACAACAACAATGGGGTCCTGTATTTGTAGGCACTGGGTGGCCCTGCGTGAGGGAGAGGGACCAGCGCTGGGCCCCATGGGGCAGTCCTGCCCCACCTGCAGGGTCTCTGAATCCCATGGGGGAAGTTCTTCCCTGCCCTGCAGGGTCTCTGAATCCCATGGGGCAGTTAGCCCCTGCCCTGCAGGTTCCTGCTGAGTCTGCATGGACTCACTGGTCTTGGGTTTGGATTTGAGCCATGAGGAGCCTTGTTCGTCCCTCCCTGGACCCCCAAGAATCCTTGTGGTCGCTCTACCGGGTCTTCACCGGCCAGGGCTTCTGTGAGGCAAAGGCTTAGTCAAAAGCAACCAGCACCCACCCACCCACACCTGCTGCCCCACGTGTGTACTTGGCCTCACAGAGACCCCTCCAGGGTTACCGAGGCTGCTGGGCTTCTTGGGAACGGACCGCCTCCCCGCTCCCTCCTCTGGGGCGGGCGGCCTTGTGGGAGGCGGGTGTGCACGTAGGAGGGGCCTGTGGTGACAGTTTAGCAAGGCAAGGGCCTTCTGGGCATGAGGGCAAGGAGGCTTGGTGACATCGCTGGGCAGGACCTCTCACCTGGCCCCTCCTCCACAGCTCTGTTCGGCATGCTGTTTGAGAAGAACAAGGAGGCGGCCTTTGCCAACTACCGCCTGTGGGAAGCCCTGGGCTTCGTGGTGGCCTTCGGCTACAGCACGTACCTGTGTGTCCACGTCAAGCTCTACATCCTCCTCGGGGTCCTGGCTGTGGCCATGGCAGCCTACGGCGCCGTCGAGGCCATGGAAGCCAGGCCCCAGGCCCAGCCTCTCACCATGCAGGAGATGGACCCTGCCCCGGACAAGGGGCCCCAGACACACATGTGACCCCGGTTGTTCTCAGAAAGTGTCCCCACAAGGGGTCCCTGGAGGCCCCTCAAGGGGCATGGGTATGCTTACGGGGATCCCAGCAAGCCCTGCGGCCGTGCTAAAACATGCTCTCCTCTCCGCCTCCACTCCATGCACCCCGGGAGCTGGGCTCCAGAGCAAGGGCCGGGTGGGGGCAGCTGCATGGGACGCAGAAGGATACCCGGGGGCTGTACGTGCTCTTGCCACTGTTCTGAAGCCGGGAAACACTGGCTCAAATGTCTAAGCCTACCTGCCAGTCCTGTAGGCGGGAAAAATGGGTCGCCTCCCTCCACAGAGGGGCAGGGACACAGCTGGGGCCAGCAGCCCCACTTCCTGAAAGGTGTCCGACACAAGTCTCTAAATAAATGCAGTCACACGGAGCACGTGTCCCTGTCCAGGGTGTTTGTTCTCAGGCTTCACCTGGGCGTGTGCACACACACACACACACACACACACACACACACACACACACACGAAGCAGGGCTGGGGAGCACTGGGGCCCTGGCCACAATGGCTGGTCTTTCCCCACCCCAAACCAGGTCTTCAGCCCTTCCTGCACACCCAGCTCTCCCCACACCAGCCCATCTTGGGGAGCCCAGGCTCCAGCCCCTCACGTGTCTGAAAGTGCAGTCAGTGCTGGGCAGGGTGGCCCCCCGTCAGCCCTGCCATCCCTTCCTCCGACTGCTCCCAGGACAGCAGCTCACGGACATGGCCCAGCACAGCCCAAGGTTGAGAGCTGAACCCGTGTGCACGTGTGTGTGCACACAATCTCCCCTGTCTATAGAGAGACTTATACACGACGAGTGGGTGTGTGTGAGAGAGAGAATGAGAGCATGCCTGGGTGTCAGTGGTCAAACGTTGGTCTGCCATCTGCCAGGGCGGCAGTTCAAAACCACTAGTCATTCCCTGGGACAAAGACAAGGATTTCCCCTCCCGTAAAGAGTGATACTCTACAGTTCTACCCTGTCCTATAGGGTCGCTTTGAGTCAGCATCAGCTCCATGGCAGTGAGTTTTAGGCATGCATACACACGTGCACACACACACATACACAGGGTTTTATATACAGAGAGGGTTTTATTAAATAGAGTCTTATATGAATATATACTGAGATATATATAGACACACAAAGTTTTGCATAAATATACGAAGTTTTATATATACACAGATATATATAGACATAGTTTTATATATGTATATATACACACAGTTCTATATATGTATAGTATACATGTGTAAATGTAAACAGTTTTATATGTATCTTTATATATACAAAGAAAGCTATATATACATACACAGAGTTCTGTAAATGTATACATATATGTGTGTATGTATATACATATATATAGTTTTTATATGTATATATACAGATATACACAGAGAAGGTACATATATGCAGATGTACACAGAGTTCTACATGTTATGGGTATTCCTATAGACAGTTTTCATATGTATATTTATAAATACAGCTAGACACACACAGACACAAACACAAAGAGAGAAGTAGGGCTCACGCCAGCCTGAGAGAGGGTGGAGGCACCATCCTGAAATGCTCGAGCCCATGGCCACGCTGCCGGGGACAAATGGGACTGTCTGCTCCCACAAAGGTTAGAGCCTCAGAGGCCCCTGGGGCAGCTGTCTCTGCTCTGTCGGGGGCTGGGATTCTGAACAGACTCCACGCGGCGGCTGTGTTCCCACATGTCTCCAGTTCTCGTCACTCAGTGCTGACTCAGCGGCCACTCCAGGGCCCACTAAAGCCGCTCTCAGGCTGTCCTCTGTCCGGGGCGGATGCCCATCTCTCTCCCGTGACAGGTTCCCCCTGCTGACTCTGTGTGTGTGTGTTACAAACGCAGACAGGACAAGACCGCCCCTGAGTCTCTACCACCACCACCGTCATCATCATCGTCTCTGTGGCATGGACTATGCCACACACAGCACTGTGCCAGCTGCCTGGCCAGAGCTGCCCGACACTCAGTCCCCACAGCCCCATTTGCAGCTCTTCTCTACCTCCGGACACTGTTGGTGAGCCCACTGTTGGTTTCACTGCTGGTGAAAGAGGGCATGAAAAGTCCCGCCCTCCACACATCAGTGGCCACCCCCTGCTTCCCCCAAACAAGCATTTCACTTGCCTCTGCCATCGTGTTTTTCCCCTTCCCTGCACCTCTGCGCCACCCGGGTCAGCAGCGTCACCCTCAGAATTCAGCTCGGGGCTCCTCTAGAAGGCTTGGTCCTCTGGCACCAGCCGCCTGGGGAGGCTCCTCTCCCAGGGCCCAAGCCAGCGGTTCCTTCTGCTGCCTCGGCCCTCGGCCCTCTCTCCTGTGGTCACATGGAGCCAGTACGGGGCGAGCGGTGAGAACACACAAGCTGTGCATAATCTGGGCCCCGTTCTCTCCCTCCTTCCTGCTCACGAGCTCTGAGTGTACAGCAGGCATGGTGGTGGATCATGAGAAAGCCCACTGGGGGCATAGGTCCTTGAGAAAGCTTTCCAGAAGGCCAACCAGGCACCTTCATCCAGGTGAACACCCGCTCTGGGGCTCCAACGTCCAGCGTCTGGAGGCAAGAAATCATGTCGGGCACCAGTGCCCCTGGAGGGCAGGGCTGGGCAGCCCAGTCTCAGTAATCATGCAGCAGAGCTATGTCCTACTGGCCAGTGCAGACTGTCACCTGCTGACCAGTGTTGCCTGATGGTCAGGGTCAGCCAGTGCTCAGTGTTACCTGGAGGCCTGCGTTCCAGTGTCTCCTGGTGGCCAGTGTCACCTGGTGGCCAGTGTTACCTGCTGACGATCATTACCTGTGGCCAGTGTCACCTGGTGGCCAGTGTTACCTGCTGATGATCAGTACCCGTGGCCAGTGTCACCTGGTTGGGGGAGAGCAACACTCCTTCCCATGTCCGTGTGGAAGGCTCACGTCCCCTTGCTTTTGGCGGTCACTTTATGGTCCCTTTGACTCCAGTGGACTGAATCTGACTGGACACGCTCCTCCCTGCCCCTCTGCCTCCCTGCTGGGCGCCAACAGCCCTTGGAGCAGCCCCGTCTCTGTCCCGTTGGTCGCTGTGTGGACTGGCAGGCCGTGCCCTAGTTAGAGAAATGCGCTGCCCGCCCGCCCACCCCCATGGGCCAGGGCAGGTGTTGGGTTTCTTCAGCACCGCCATTGCCCTGAAAGATAACCGACAGCCTGGAGGCTTGGACACCCAGCCGCAAAGAGATGGTAGCCTGGGTGCCAGGGAGAGAATGCCACACCAAGGGGGCCCGCGGAGTCCAGGCCGGGCTTTGAGAAGAGTGTGACAAACAGGGCCCTTTCCCCGCCCCGGTCGTGACGAGAAGCCCAGGGCCACCAGAGTGACCTGTGCCCACTGTGCCCCTCTCAGACCCCTTCCCGGCCTCCCCTTGTTCAGCCCTATGCCCCAAGCCTAAGGTGACCAGGCATCCCGCTTTTGGCAGGACAGTCCCGATTTTTAACAATTTTTCCTGTGGCCCGCGGTGTTTTTAAAAAGTCCCGATTTTTGGAAAGAATGCACGACAAGCTAGGGAATACGGGTTTCAGCTGCCATGTGGCTATTTCTCCAGGATATGAGTTTTATCAACGGTGTCCCGCTTTACCAATGGTAAAATCTGGCCACCTTAACCCAGCCCCTCCTGCAGCTAGGAAGGAGGCGATGTCCATGTTGGTCCTCCTCCGCCCCAACAAGCCCCACCCTGCTCACTTTGTCCCCAGCAGCTCCTGTCACGCGGGGGACCCTCCTGGTGAATGTACATGTGCAACCAGTGCTTGCTGGCCCTTCCTTACTGGGTGCCGCGGCCAGTGCAGCAGGGGACAAGACGGCAGTGCCTGCTGTTGGGACAATTGATCCTACAACGCAGTGTGTCACGGGGTGTGAAGGGCAGTGTCCTGGGCAGGGTGTGGAGGCTGGACATGCCGACCCCTCTCAGCCTGAGAAGCACAAGGGAGAGGCCAGACGGTCACCATCAGAGTCCAGTCAGAGAAGCCGTCAGTGCCAGTGGCCAAGGTAGCCGGGCATAGTGTGTCTGCCATGTGGTGTCAGGGGACAGTGGTGACAGATGGAGGTCCGAGAGGAGCTGGCCTAGTTCTGACTGGTCAGTGAGAACTCAGACATCCTGCACCAGAGGCAGCACCCACCAGTGCCAAAAGGTGGCAGCGTGGTCCATATGCACACACTGCAAAGCAAGCCTGCTCTGTGCATTCAGTGACCGAGAAACCCTGGGCTTGGAAGACTCACGTGGGGCGAGCAAGTCAGACACTGGAGGGCAAGTGGCACAGTGTCATGGAATACACTGGTCCTGGAGGTCTCTGCCAGTCGGCCCCGGCTCCGCGGCAGTGAGTCCGGTTCTGAATGATCAATTAAGCACAAGGGGCTTCTCCGAGTCCACACCCTTCACCCGCCAGCGACGGGAGCAGCAAGGCCAGGTCTGGCACTCAGGACTCGCCCTGGTCCGCATGGGCCTTTTGTGAGACCGAGGGTCAGTCTGGCCCAGGAGGCTTTGGGGCGGTGCCTCTCACGGCAAACCCCGCCATGCAGTCGATGCCGGCTCGCAGTGACCCTCCACGGCGGTTTCGGTGAGTGGCGTGTGTGTTTCATGACACTGTGACATCTGCCCTTCGGTGTCTGACTTGGGGACTGGCCTTGTAGGTCTCTAAGGCTGTCACTCCTCCTGTGAGGGACGGCCCCATCGTTCTGAGAGCTCGTGGCTCCCAACTCTGCCGCCAGGGCCTTCAAACAGGCACCCACTCTCCCTCCCATCTGGCGTCTTCGAGATGGGAAACTGAGCCCCACCAATCCCCCCTCCCACAAGTCCCCTGTGAACCCCTAAGAAAAGGACCAACCAAGAGCCATTTCATACATGGAGTTGATGTATCCCCATTGGCGAAGTGCGTAGGGTGAGAAAGAAAGAAGCGGCGTGCTCACGCTAAGTCAGCCGTAAAAAGTAGAATGAGCACATTGTGCTTTACAGAGCTGACGGGACTCCCTGTGTGTCTCTGCTTCTCTGGGCTGCGGCTGGGAAGGGCATGCCTCTATGGGGCAATGAAGGAGGGGGCTTGTTTGGCTCCCCGAAGACTTCCCTGCTCCCTTACGGAGAAGCCCAGGCAGAGCTAGCTGCGGGACCAGTGAGCAGTGTCGCACCCTCAGTCGCCTTGCTGAGGGAGCTCTCAGAGGCATGGGGCAGACGTCAGTGGCCCCTGCAACCACACCGCTTCTGAGAGGTCTCTCAAGTGGGTAAGACCTCAGCTCTTGGCTTCCCACGAGGAAGAATCCACACTGAAGCCCGTTTTGTAACCCAAGTGGGTTGTTTTATCAAGGACGGGAGAAGTTTCAGGTTTTACAGTCCCGAAAGAGTACACGCTATTTCAGGGAAGCGTGCCAAG